GACCTAATCTGTAATCAATCACTCAACGGGCTGGCGATTCGATTCGATGCCGTTGATGTCTGAGGGGACGAGTCGAGAGACGGAGATCGATTCTCTGAATTGCTTGCTTGCTTGATGATGATGATGATTTCGATATTCCGCTCGCAGAACGATGATAAAACGCGCAACGAGATCGACCAGTACCAGCTACAAGCAACAAGATCATCACCGCGAGCCCTTTCCCAAAAGGACTATGACAATACCCCCTGGCTCAATCAACAAAACCCCCTTATCGTCACAAAGGAACCCAGTCCATAGTCCTCTTTCTTCTGTCTTTATTGCAGACACACACTGACAACAATACACACAGATACACACACACACACACACACACACACACACACACACAACAACCACCCCAATAAAACATTTGTCTGCTATCTATATAGCCACCCAACAAGACACCCATCCATGTTGCTGTTGCCTTGCCCATTATTCCCGACCAACGCTTCAGGCGTGGCAGTTGTATATGATAGATATCATATCGTTGGTGAATCGCACGCTTATGGGTTGAAGCAACGTATGTAGTAAGATGCCGAATAACGCTAAAAGCTCCATGATGTTAGCAAAGACTGAATCACAAAACACCAACAGAGGTGAGAGCGGGAGCAACGCACATTTAAAACCTCCATCAGATCCTAGATACATCCATAACGACTGCCGGTGCATAGTCGAGGGTATACTTTGTGTGAAATGAACCAAAACCAATCAAGCCTTTCTGACCGTGTTGCACTGCGGGGGACGACAGCACCGATATGAAATCACCATTTCAAGCAGAGCGAGCGGGCAAGCCTTCATCTGTCGCCAGCCACCATGATGTTGCAGGCACCCCATGAACACCCGTGAAACAAGTTCCCTCTATGAGATCCGAGCAGCACTCCAGTCCCTCCCGAACCTCAACACACATTATACCACACATCCCAGAAAAGAAAGGCCAATAAAACCATGCCAAAGTGAACCAGCCTACGACTCCCCCAAAAACCCTCCCACCCCCAACACCAGTCTTCATATCTCATTTGCAGACCAAAAGGTGTGCAATCACCACCGCACGGTAAATGCGGACCAAAAACCCATAACCGTGGATGACGATACACCGAGCCATGGCACTTGCTGATGTATGCTGTATGTGCCCGGGTTTGACACGAGATGCTCGCCTCGGACGCTGAAATCATCACCTAAACTGCCCGTCACTTGTCGCGACCTTCTTCGTTTCTTTCATGTCGACGTCCAGCGACAAATTGCTTAAAGCTTCTCCGGCGCAGCGTGGGTGGCTGCCTACGTTCTGCTCATGGCGCAATGGCCGACAGTTCGTTGAGTCTCTGCTTTTCGGCGCGAATGCGAGCAGCTTCGGTTCCGTCGTCGGGGTAAGCGTGTTCCTGGAACCAGGGATGGCTCAGAGCCTCCTTGGCCGTTATCCGTTTGGCAGGGTCATAGACAAAGATCTTTTGTAAAAGGGCCAAGAACTCTTTCAGGAACTTGTTGTTCGGCGGAATGATCTCCTGCAACAGGGTTAGCAGACTCGTCATAGATGGGTCCACGCAACAAAACACAAACCGGAAGTGTCTTCATTGCTCTGACAAATCTCTTCGACTGTCTTGTGGTATCTGCTGTCGGGTAATCAAGCTTGTTCCGCTTAAAGTACCTATTGTGCTGTCAGTTGTGCTGCTCCAGCGAAGAGCGTCTTCCGAGAATCTTACCTGGATGCTGGGTTGGTGCCATTGCGTGGCTGGCGGTTTACAGACTGGACAAGGTGAGTGTCGATATTGGCGTCCACCACCGCCTGCATCATGGCCAGATGCTCGAGGTTATCGTGTGTCTGGAAAAGGGCATCTCCGGTGAAGAACTCGACGAGAATGCATCCAATGCTCCAAATGTCGCAGGGGAAAGACCAGCCAAGACCAAGAATGATTTCGGGTGCACGGTAATGCCGAGTTGACACAACGGACGAGTGATATTCGTCCTGAAATGTTGCAGACCCAAAGTCAATCAACCGGATCTCGGTGTCCAACAATACTCTTCTTTGTGTGGCCTGGCGGGCAACATTGCTGCTCGAGGATGGAATCTTGCGGTTGTACGTGAACGTCTGGTACTCGTTATGACAAAGCAAGATATTCTCGGGCTTCAAATCCGTGTGGATCAAGTTGAGATCATGCAAGACTGCGAAAAGAAAGAGTCAGCAACACAAATCCCGTGGTGTTTGGCCAGAAAACGGTACGCACAGGCTACGCTGGTAAACAGCTGGCGGGCGAAGCTCTGAATCTGGCTGTTGGGAAAGGGGACGAAATTATTGCTCTTAAGAAAGTCGAACACGCTCTGACCCAACAGGTCCATAACGATGCAAATGTGGCCGCGGTAATCGAAGCAGTCTCGGAGGTGAATGCACCTGTTGCGATTCTCCGGGTCGTTGGCCTTGAGCGTTTCCAGGACTCGGAGCTCAATCTTGCTGGCTTCGCGGTACTTTTGCACCGAGCGAATGATCTTGATGGCGACCAACTTCCCTGGACGCTGCCTGTCCTTGGCTTGGACGACTTTGCCGAACGTGCCTTGTCCAAGCAGCTTGACCATCTGATCTGTTCCAGATTCGCGTCAACAGGATGCCGAGGCGTTCATCATAATTGAGCAACAACTTACATCGCTCAGTCAAGGGATTGTCCGGCACAACAATGTAGTGACCTTCGTCATCGTCGACCCGCGAGGTCTGCATGTGCGGAGGCTAGCATTGGTGGTTAGTGTAGCTATTCACAATGGCACCGTGATGGAAATGGCTCACATCAGTGATGATCTGGACCGGGACATCTCGGGACTTCTTGATGGGCTGCCGAGGAGGAATGTAGCTGGCAAAAGCATCTGTGACCAGAGCCTCGCGACGCTTCGCCTCGCTGTTCGTCTGCGCCCGGGTTCTTTTCCGCTTCTGGCCCTGGCTCGCCTGCTGCAACTCGTGGTCATACTGACCGTTTGATGAAAGTGAGCCAAGTGAGGTAGCGGCCGTGGTATGATTGGCAGAGTTGGTACGGCCACTTGACGTTGTCGATTTGCTTGGCGACCCATACTGGCGAGGAGTGTGGGTGTGTGATGCGATATGGTGAACAGGGTCGTAAGGCGCCGCATCAGTCTCTTTTCTCCTCCTCTTGGCCGGAGGGGCGACCGAAGCATCGGTCGGGCCGCTGGCATAGGAATGTCCGTTGGTCAGGTTCTTGGACGTTGCCGGCTCCTCGGGCTCGGGGGAGTCATCAATGACGATGATTTCGGTCGGCAGGCCATTTTTGTAGAAATCATTCCAATCGACATCTCTCTGTCTCTTTTTTGACGACGACGGCGGCGGGTTGGTCACCACTTGGGTTCGGCTTGACTGCGAGTTTGCCGGCATGGTTGAGTAGAGCGATTCCGAGCGATGGGAGGCCAAGTCGGCCGAGTCGTGTGGGTGGTGTCTCGATGGCTCCAGGGGCATCAGACTCGCTCCATTTGACGCGGCGTGTGTCGCCGGGTGAGTGTTGTAGCCGGAGGTAGAGGGATAAACGAGACGGGAGGCAGGAGGAAGCACCGGGTTCGTAGAGCGGTAGGCAGAGGTATTTGGTTGTGGGAACGATTTATGCTGCTGGTGGTGGTGTGGGTAGTGAAAGTGACTGTGACTGTAGGGAGGGAGCGTCGCAGTTGCAGTAGTCGGAGTCGACATTGTCCTGCTTCGCTACTCTCTGCAAAGAGGGTGGCAGGATTGGGAAAATGGGAAGAGTGTGGGAGAGGACGAGGGCAGGAAGGTCCCGTATCGTGTCTGACCCGGGGAAGGTGGAGGCAGTCGGTGGTTAAGGTTTGACACCAAGTGAAAGGGTTGCGTCCCGAGCTGGGTGAATACCGGCGAGTGGTATTCCTAGCTGACGTCGGGGTTTTTGGCGAAGCCCTCGCGCGCTGGCTGGCCGTTGGGAGCCCCGTCACGGAGGTATCAGCATTCGACCGATTGACGACACGATAGAAATCAAGGCGGTTGGAGTGTCGAGTGTCGAGTCTCTCTCGTCGAAGGTGCTCAATGATGCTGGTGAGGAAGGAATGGAGAAGGTGGAAGCCGGAATTTGGACTGAAAGCAGGTTGGCGCGAAGATGGAGCGAGGGAAGGAAGCCCAAGCCCCGTTTGTCGCTGGTGTCTGCGCTGCGCTGCTTGGGTGTGTGCTGGGTGTGCTGAGTGTGGTGAATGGTGCTGGGTGTGGTGAGTGGTGCTGGGTGTACGCTCGGCTGAGGGAACTCTCTCGCCCACTGGTGCTTGAGTGGTTGAGTGTCTTTGATAGGGTGTGGAAAAGGGGGACGTATATTTTTCGCCGCGGCCAAAGGACGGTTGATTGCCCTAGAATGTTTCGCTCAAGAGTTGGTGTCTTCGGCGAAGGGGAACGGGCGACTGGTGACTTTGGCGACCCTGTTTAGGTTTTCACCCGTTGGCTCCAGCAGACTCTCGGTCAAACCACACCTTGTCGATGTCAACACCGAACCAGCACCAGGAGCACAGGGCTGGAACCACCTTCACTTTTGCACAAAAGAGCCAATGACGAATATACCGCAGCAGCGCCCGTCGTCAACGTCCCAAAAACAACACAGCAACTTCAGATGGAAAATGGCCAAAAGCCCACCCTGCCATTGGGTACGTTCACATCTCGGCTTTGCCAAGCCTCGAGTTTCGCCTTCCACTCTTATTGAAACCTGACCTGACCATGCTTGGTCCCGCGCCACCAATGCCTGGCACAGTGTGGACCTCCCAAGTCTCGCACTTTCCTCTAGTGGTGTTTGCGACGCTGACATCAGACCCGATGCGCTGATTCGTGTGCCCGTCTTTGACATTAGGTGGGGCTCTTCGAGGCTTCTTAGGTAGAAACACAGTGTGGTAGGACAGTGCGGATCCCTTCCACTTTTCAACATCATGAGATATGCCCATTGAAGCATCTCGAACCCTCCTCAGTTATGTGTCTGTAACCTTTTTATGTCTTGTAGCTGGCTGTCATCATCTCGTCGTGGAAGTGACTGTGAAAGAGCTACCAGTTATCCACCCATCCATCCATCTGTGCGTACGGTGGCTTTCGCTAGGATAATGGACAACCACATGTACGCCGCTCCGGAAGCACCTGGCATGGAGTGTTGCATGCGCCAGCGCGGGTTCAGTCCCTCCTTCATTGATATTAATTAGCACCAGTCCCTCCCTCCCCTCTTGCTTTTCCAGTTGCTGTTCATTCTTTCTGTGTGTTTCCGTGGTTCTTTTAGGTCCGGCCAGGGCAGTGCCTGGGGGCTGGCTGGCTGACTGACTGACTGACTGACTGACTGGCTGTTCCGGAATAAGAAGACAACAAGAGAAAACGAGCTGGACCTTTACATCATCTCCCAGGATCAACGGATGGGTTATCGGCCGTGGTCTGGGGGCGTGGTCTGTGCCTTTTGCAATCGGCCTACTTCGTTCATGTTGAAGCATTTCTTACGTTCAAGGCAGCTGCATATATATCGAAGGATTGGTTGGTGTTGATGAGACTCTGGGTCTCTGATCTTTCTCCACTCTGTTCCACAGTCGTGGACCTGATTTCCGAGTCATCAACCACGCGGCAGGGTGACAGACTTCCATTTCCCACCAGGTGTGGTGTTGATTCACCTCAGCTCCCAAGAGGCAGCCCCCAGAGCGGGATCGAACAGGGACAATAACAACCTTCTTTATGGAGACGCGCCTGCTTGGGGGCACCTTCGGCGATTTATTACAGCCTTCCACAGTGCCAGCAACCCTGTCCTACGGCAGCCAGCCCCGCCAATGATGAAAGAGAAATGTATAAGACGGGGGTATCGTCAGGTCTTCCTTGGGTGGCTTTCTGATTTTCGATTTGAATTTGCACAAGCCTCTGTATGGAAGAGGCTGGCCCTGATTGTCGTCTTGCAAGCTGTTCTCTCTGGCTATCGCGTAACTCAGCGCAGCATTCCATCCCAAGCCGAAGGGTATGGTTGCGCCTTGCAGCTTCGCGAGCGGCACGGGAGCGTGCTCTTTGCCTGGCGGTTGCGGAAAACGGAAGCCTCGGTGCGCGCTTGATGGCGGAGGAGCCCTGCAGTGCTACCGAGTCCGTCTCGCACCAAACCTGACCGCCCAGCTTCCTCCTTTTTTCTCAGCAATGAATAAGTGTATGCTGTGCCTTTCTCACACTGGAAACCAGCATCCAAGAAGGGGGAAAAGGGGCCAAGTGGTGATCAACAGTTTGGCTCCCACATTAACAAGAAACTGATAAAGGTGGGACGGGCCAAAAAGATCACATCCCCCCCTCCATCGTCCCCCTCCATGCACATGCAGAACCCCGGGATCTCTCCTCATCGGTATCTAGCGCGATCCCATATGTGTGCACACACTGCAACGAGCAGGCGGGTTTTGTCGGGGAAACGCAATCAAACCACCCAACCACAACCAACTTCTTTTCCTTCCAATGGGCAATGGTGGTTCTTCGTGCAACTTTTGCTAATACAGGACGGTAAGCACACACGCCAGGCCCAGATGGATCTACGTTGTGACCCGACGTCCGGCTGTCAGCGAAGGCAACCAGCCGGTTCTTGGCTTTTTCTTGTCGTGATATTCATGACGAGACTGTGAGAACAACCGAATTAGCTTACAGATTTCAAAATTCCCCGTTACTCTCTCCTTTACCCTTCAAGCCTTGTCTAGGCCCGGTTCTTTTTGCAACTCCAGGGTCGCCTTGGACAATATCAAGGGTCCACGAGATCCCGCTACACTTTGTGCCGGGATGGTGTGGTGTGTGTGTGTGTGTGTGTGGGGTGCTCGCTGGCTGGTTGCCGTGGCTGCCCCGCAGTGGCCAAAATCCAAAGAAGATGACCCCTCTCTTTCGTCAGTGGACCAACAACTGGCAAGCAAGCACCACCAGGACTTCCCCGCGCCTGTTGCAATCCTCTCTTCTTTCTTCACTTTTTGGGGTTGTGGCTGCTGCATTGCAGGAGGACTTCATCCTTATCTGCAGGAAGGAGAGCCTTGTTGAAGAAAGAAAGGAAACGAATCCGAACGGGCAGGTGGCAACGGTCTTTTACCGCTGTAGGGTTAGTGGGGGTGTGACCACCCAACCATCATGAAAGACCGTCCTCCGCTCGGAAAACAATAACATCAACAAAATCTGCTCAAAGCAAGTGGTGGGGTAAAGGTTGGCTACCTAGGTGAGGGACATCTTACTACGGTGTAATACTTTGCCTTCATATCATTCACAAACACGGGGTGATGGATAAATCAAGGGCCCATAAACTACCCTAACCCAACTTATGCTTGGTATCCAACCCAGTACACCACCACCCCACCACAGCCCCCAAATCAACCATGTCACAGCAAAGTTTGCATAAAACCTTCATCAAATCCATATTTCGAAACGAAATGACTGACATGCCCACTTTCCTCTCAATTTGCTTTCAAGGCTTCAGTCTGTGGTCTCATCTCACAAACCCTCCAAATCAAATGGTCTGACAAGCAGATCAAGTGAAAATGGGCACCGATCCCTCCTCATCCGAAACAGTCCAGTGATGTTTATCTTTGGTCCCCAAGACTTGCCTGCGAAAAAAAGGAGCATTCACACTCCTTCACATGATCAATAACAGGCAAGCGTAAATATGAGATAAGATATGTGGGGTTAGGCTGCCTGCCTGGAGAGCCTCTCACAACTCCTCATTCTCAGCGTGAAAATTCAACTTGTATTTTCCCGCCTGTTTCGTCTATTCTCACAAATATCTGTTCTTGAAAGCGTGTTAAAGATAGTTCAAGGCCTATGGATGTGTTTTTGAAGGTCTGGGGCTTTGAAATTTACACAAGTGTGGTTTCACTCACCATCTGCCGTGCAACAGTTCACGCACCACAACAGTAACAACAACAACTGTTTCACAGGCTCCACATACTGGGTTCAAGTCACCGTGACGAAAGTGGGACTTGCATCAGATTACACCCCTTGTTTTGTGAACGGATCTCATGTTGTTCACTGAGACGGGAGTCTTGGGTAGGGTATCTTCAGTTGGTGAGTGTCTTTACGCAAGACAATGTTTTAGATGCTCATGTCCCAGTGGACTCGGGGAATCCGAAGTGTTGGACCTGGTTGGATAAAGTTTGAGTGTTGGTTGGAGAAGGACTTGCTGGAAAACCGAACTCTCTGCCCGGATTCTGGATCTTGGAGAAGGGGAATTAGACTTCAAGCTAACACCGACAACTGGCAACGCTCTTACGCCCAGGCAAACCCTCTTTTTTAAACCCTTCACCCCCTCAGCCTCCAAAACACCATGCATCTTGAACCATTCGTTTATTTCCCTATATCTCCTCAAATACCCCTATTGAACTCCACCAACCCCCCCTCCCCACCCCGTCCATGAAACCTCTCCTCCAAACTATCCGCCCTAACCTTCTGCCTCTGCGGGAACGCCGCCAGCGCCAACGGCAAAACCGCATACGACGTCACCAAGATCAACCCCAAATTCAACGGCGTCGTCCACCTAGGGTTCTTCCTCAGCCACTCCGTCCTCTGGAACCTCACCAGCGCCAGCGCGGGGATGACCATGATCGGGGACGAATTCAGCACCCTGCTCACCGCCGTCTCCCCCACCGCCAACGTCGCCGCCTTTTGGCTCTTGCCCAGACTCTCCACCTCGGAGGGGGACTTGCCCTGGGCAGCAAACGCCTCCCTGGCCTTTTGAGACAGGACAGGGAAGACGTCGATGCCGGTGCGGATCTCCTCCCCGCGCATGAGGAAGACGTTGAGGGCACCGGCCGAGGCCACGGCGGCGAAGGGGACGAGGCGGCCGAGGATGAGGCGGGTGGAAGGGGTGATGGATTTCAGACGGGGGACGAGGGAGTTGAGGCCTACGGCTACGGAGCAGGAGGCGCCGACGGCGAGGAAGTAGGATTGGGCGATTTTGGACCAGGATAAGGGGGAGGATTTGTTGGAGTTGGAGTAGTTGATTGCTACGTTGAGGGACTGGTTGGCTACTTGCCAGGCGATGGTGCCGCGGTTCTGTATGGAGGTGAGTATGTGACCGGAAAGGGGGGGAGGTACAGGGCTTACACCAAGGCCAGGGGTCAACATGCCCGCTGTCACCACCAAGTTGGAGAGGACAAAGCATGACATGCGGAAGGGGAGGAAGACCGCCTCGCCTGTGTCTGGGTGCAGAGTCGAGTCGACAATCTTTTTGGCCTTCCAGAGGTCGGGGGTCATGTGTGGAATTTGCCCATTCTTGTAGGCGATGAGGAGGTTTTTGGCATCTGTAAGACCGGCACTGCCTACGAGGAGGGTCCTATTGACGGTCGCAGGTTAGTATATGCTGGCACGACATAAAAAGCAAGGCAGGTTGGTGATGTGGGATGGGCCGGCAGGTACAAGTCCCCTACTCACTCACACCTCACTCATCGACCTGGTAGGTTATGGTTATAAGACAGGTTGTCAGTTTGCTCTCACCTCGGATCTGTAATGCTCGCAGTATGCCTCACACGGCCCCAGTAGGTGCTAAGATCATACTGAGAGTCGGGAAGTGGCCGGACGCCTGGCAGAGACGAAGACATTGTGTGTATGTGTGACTCTTTTCGTAACCGTGAGAAGACAAGGGGTATCAACACCGCGTTTAAGCCGTAGCGGAGGTGATATCAACAACCACTTCACAGAATAACCAAACCCCTCAACGTAGAGATAATATCCAGCCCTATAGGAAAGAGGACTTTCAAGTAAAAACAAGGCGCAAAGTGAAGGGAAGCGGTGTGATACCCTCTTCTTCTCAACAGCCAAACACTTTCAACGAAGCCCAATTCCAGTCACTCTCGCTCTGGGCTCTTTCACAAAAAAAGATAAGGTGGAAACAGTCGGTCCCTGAAAAACAGCCTCCGACGTCGGTGGAGACAACCCCGACGATAGCGGGTAGCAGTGGGCTGGGGGGGGGGGGGGCCAGACTCAGATTGCGGGGTCTGGATCGCCCGCCGCCCGCGGCTTAACGACAAGCCAGGGATGCGCGGTTTCACTCGGAACTTGCCCTCGCCCAGCTTCATCATTGATCAGACTTGCAACCTTGGTTTCCAAAAGCCATTGAATCATCGTTTTTGGTTGCCATTTGGTTGGCCCAGCATTCTGTTTTTTAGTCAGAGCTTAAGCAGGAAGGGTTGTTAAGGCCGGTTATACTGGAGAAAGAAAAAAAGAATTGAGAAAAAGCATTGGCGACGGAAACAAACACAAACATACATCGCATCATGGTCTAGAGTAGTCCAGTTACTCTTGGACTATACACTACCTTTTTGGCCCGCCGACCATCGATATAACCTCAACGGGGTTATATCACCCTACCACACACACACAATATGACGCTCGGCACAACACCCCAGCGCATCCTCCAGCGCCTGCCCTTCTCGAGCTCGACGACGCCGCTGCAGGCGCTGACGTACCTCCTCGGGATATCCCTCTTCAGCATCTCGTTCCTCGTCTTCCTCAACAGCAGCTTGTCCTTTGTGATTACCGATTTGATAGGCGTGAAGGAAGGAGTGGGGGATATCGTAGGGACGTTGGGGTTTGTCGATGAGCTCGTCGCGCTGGTGGCTTGCCCGATTTGGGGGTTGGTGTCGGATAGAGCTGGTGTGAGATATGTAGCTGTTGCTGGGTATGCTGTCATTGGTCTCGCGCTGTTCCTGTTTGTGCAGGCGCGCAATGTGTATCCTCAGTTGTTGTTGGCGAGGATATTCTTTGCTGTCGGGGCGACGGCTGCGTAAGTGGTGTTCCTTGGGAGGCTTGGTTCTAGGTAGGAAGTATGGTATGCTGACGTGTGAGCTATACAGGGCTACCATGGTTACTCGCTATTCTTCCCTCCTTGACCCGATGAGACTGGTCCCGTGGCCGAGAATGTGGCGCCAAACCCTTCCACAAGAGGGAGAGCGAGAACAAGCGTTGCGTTGTCTGTCGATTCGGAAGTGACTATCACTCCATGAGACGTTTCGGCAATACCAGCTCCAACTTATGCCTCCTCGACAGAAAACACCGCGGTGGAAGGAGACGAGGGAAAGAAACAAGGAAAGCCATCAGCGCTCGCCGCGCTTCGTTGGGCTGTTCACCGGCTGCGGTGCCCTGGTAGCCCTCAGTTTGTTCCTCCCACTCCCCGCTCGGTTCGGCAAAATCGAGGGCGTCACCACCGGCCTGGCCGTCCAATATAGCTACTATACCGTTGGCGTGGTCTCCTTTCTGGTCGCCATCTTTGTCTTCTTTGGTCTGCGCAAGATCAAAGGTGAAGAAGGCAAGGGCTGCGCGACTGTTGTTTGGTCTCCGGGGCTCAACCCCCCAAGGCGCTGCCTCAGCCCACCCCCGAAGCGTATGAACTCCCCGCCCCTTTTCTCCCTGTTCTTATGCCCATCACTAACCCAACCCCAGAAAGCAATCCCCTACCCCCACCTCCTCAGAGACTCCATCCTCCTCGCCCTCGGCGACAGCGACATATGCCTAGGCTACCTAGGCGGCTTCGTCGCCCGCGCCTCCACCGTCGCCATATCCCTCTTCATCCCCCTCTACATCAACGCCTTCTTCATGCGTCACGGCTACTGCCAGGGCTCCCCCAACGATCCCTCCCCGGAACTGAAAAAAGAGTGCCGCCAGGCGTACATCCTCTCTGCCATCCTAACCGGAGTCGCCCAGCTGATGGGTTTGATTTGCGCCCCTCTCTTTGGGTATCTCAGTCATAAACCCCACCATAGGGTCAACTGGCCTATTGTCATTGCTACCTTGTTCGGTATAATAGGGTACATGATCTTCCCGTCTCTTGCGAGCCCGGAGTTTAAAGATGTCGACTCCCGCGGTGGGAAACCGGTTGTTTTTCTGCTTGTGGCCCTGATGGGTATAAGCCAGATTGGCGCGATTGTTTGTTCGCTTGGCTCGTTGGGGAAGGGGGTGTTGAAGACGGATATTGTTAATGTTTTGGCTGTGCCGGGGAGTGATGGGGGGGAGACGCTTTAGTTTATTTGAAGCTGGCCTATGAAGCCGAACGGTT